CTTGAAAATTGGCTGAAATGAATTCTTCGACTTTTTCTGAAAGCAAGTTTCCTCTGGATGTTTTTGGGGTAAATTGAATAAGAAATTTGCGTAATTATTTAAAATGTGGAATTGGAGGTGGTCGTGACTATAAAGCATGACTAATCTGCACATTCACGCTTTTCACAAAAACATTTCTGTGGTATGGAAACTATATTTCAACCACACTGACAGATGTAAAAAAAACTATAAGAGTTAAAAATGAAACTGATTTTTGATCATACAGGGGAGAAAAACATTTGGTTACGTTTTAGAGGTTTTAAAGTTTTTGAAAGCGATTGCATTCAGATAAACGAAACGTGAGTATTTGGGCCGTGTGTTCAATTTCCATACTATTATAATCGGGTCANGGCTTCACGATCTTTCACAACGCCACCGCAAAATGCGTAAATTAACATGTAGGGATAGTGGCACTGATGTGATGTGTTTACAATTCAACATGATTATAACATTTGAGACGACGCACTGCGCGTGATGAAATTCTTAGAATTGGAATAAAAACAAAATCGATAACAAAGCTTTTTTGCGTAGTATTGTGTGGCAGTATAACAAAATAACTTGTCTCATATTCAGCCACAAATTTCCAGTTAAAATATTTTTCATTTTAGCAGAAATGCCCAGTCAGAGTGTCCGACCAGACTAAGCTTTTGCCTGTCAAAACCTCAAATTTACGGGACAATTGTCCAATGACCGACTGTTATTTGCAGGCTTACGATATAGGGTCTTGGTTTAAATAATGCCTTGGCCAAAACCGATCATGCAATATGATCTTGTGCACGAACTATCAGGTGATAGAATGTCAAGGCTGTGTTGGTTTGACAGGAATTAAGGATGCCCCACTTTTTCAAAATTACAGTTTGAATTTGATCCATTTTTGCGTGTCTCATTGAGCTGTGCGATAAGCGTGTCGTTAAAGTGGCGCTAAATGCTTGGTTCATACTCTATTTCTTAAAATCGGTTAATTTGGCCTATTAAGAAGACATACTATAACTAACAGTGGTGTCTGTTTTGTGCAGAGATTTTTTGTTCTTGTTTTATTAATTTTCAAAGAAAAAATTTGAAAGATCTGATCGAACAGATTGTGGTTTTTATTTAGTATAAGTGCATGAATGTTTTGCAACACACAAGAAATGAGCAAAATCTATGGTTTAAGCCAGACCGAAAGTCCTCTCTTACCGAGACTGCCTCTTTAGGGGTATAAAAATTTCATTGTTCTGAAAGTAATTTAATCTTGTACTATGCAATATATATACTTCTTTCACTATGGCAATGTGTAAGTGTTTAGTATGATTAATTTTGTCACTACTTTTAGATGAAAATGAGGGCCTAACCTTAAGAAAAAGAGCACCATGAATAATTCCGTGCGGTTAAGAGATAGAAATTAAAGTAAATTAAAAAATGAAGCAAAATTCAAAGAGGTTTAATGGTATTAATTTCTTGAAGTTTCAACCTTCATATTGAGTGCAACTTTTATACAGTAAATGTTTACAGGTCAAAGGCATAAATTAATGTTATTTCAAAGTCTGAAATTCCTCTGCCAGTGCTTTAACTGATATACAGAAGAGTATTATTTTAACATTAGATTTATTATATAGACACAAGTGTTTTGTTGGAGAATACACCACTCACAAAATTCATACAAAACTACATCTGGGACTCAAGTGGCATATTTTCCATGTCCTCACAAGTGAGGATGTTGACGGGGCCATTTCCTGCTTTTTTATGGTTGTTTGCACTAACAGTCAGTTTGTCTATGTAAAAAAAGAAAACTACATGGTAACTTTAAGATGTTGATCATATTTTTATGTTGAAACATTAATTTAGTCACTTGCTACATTCGTTTGTGAAGTATTGCTTTTACCACTATAAAATGAGATCCATATCTTTGCACTGCCTTGTAATATCTATTTTATAATATCTACTTTATATACATTTTACACTTACATTTATCTTACATAGAGGAAGCTTATGGGAATCAAATTACACAAACCACTAGCTGTTGAAAAAAAATACCTATATAATTTCATTTTCTTTTTAGATCGTGAACTTGAACAAAGAACAGAAGGACAAAGAGTGCAACTAGCTTATGAAAAGGCTCTACGAGATGGATTTGTGAATATTTACCATGGTCGCATATTTCTAATTGGTCAGGAGCATGCTGGTAAAACCAGTCTAAAGAAGAACCTCTTAGGCCTGCCATTTAACCCTGAAGAACAGATTACTGAGGGAATTGAAGCAGATGCTTCAGCATTTCATATTGATGTTCACCAAGTTAAGAACTGGCATTGCACTTATGAGAACAAAAATGATCCTAACAAGCAACAGGTTTGAGTGTACTTAAATGTTTGGAGCTATGATGTATATTTAATGCAGACATTTGTTTTGTAAAATCTAGGAGAAGGGCACTGTCTTGAGTATATCAGAGGCATGTTAATTTTCATGTGAAAATAATTATTTGTGGCCAAAAGCACTTCCTATTTTTTTTAGTCATGTTCAGTTTGCATCATGTGATAAATGATCTGAACTTAACTATTTGCTCTAGGTACCTTCTAATTTACTATCTTTCAATTTTAAAACTGTCAGGTTACCTGCCTCTCTATAAAGCAGGTAATACCTTTCTCAGCTGGGCAGTTGATGCTAAAGAAGGGACAAGTCAGAGACAATTTCATCTCAATACCGTCTGAAACCATCACAACCTTTTTCTGAGTACCTGTGGCTTACATGTAATCAGTGTATCACTAATCATTTCTTGTTTGATATTCTATTCTAGGGTAAGGAGATAACAGATGATATCACAAAACATGTTCAATATGCTGCTCATCAGTTGTTAGATAGTGTTGGAGGTGAGCATGTTGGTAGTGATATCACTAAAGGAGAATCTGTTGTGACTATGGATGTGTGGGATTTTGCTGGACAACACCTGTACTATGCCAGTCATCCTATGTTCTTATCATCACGTGCGGTGTACATTTTGGTACAC